TTTTTGGTTGTAGCTGTCATTGTTTTGGCGGGCCTGGGCTGGATTCGAACCTGCCACCTTAAGTGTATGTGGCTGGCGCCTCAGCCACTTGAGCCACAGGCACCAAGCCCTTTTCCACCTCTTGAGAGTTTATGGTTTTTCTTTTATGCTGTGTCCTAGGTAATAAGCCTTACAGAGTCTGGAATTTTACATATGCCAACTGTGAATTAAAATCTTAATAACTTAACATGTCTAGCACACCTTATTAAACATATTCTTAAGACATTTGATGAAATTCAAGAGATAATGCAAGCTAATATATTCTATAAATTATACATCTTTATATAAGTTAAAGAGTAGTAATTATTCTACAAAAAACCCTTCACATTGTGTACAGGAGAGCTAATTAATGGTCTTATAGTACAAAAGTATAGTACAAAGACATGCTATCACTTATCACTGTCAGTCTGGTTCACTCCTCACTGCTGCTTTATAGTAAAAAGCAAATAAAAGAGTATAAATCAATGCATAAATAAATAAAACATGACAAAGCAATATTCAGAATAAAACCCAACACAATTAACATTTCAATTATGCCCTTGCTAACAAGAAGACATTTTAAACCCATGACATGAAAAAACAATGCAGGAATTTTACATATAAAGGCTTTCTTACCACTTGCAGTTTCTGGTTTGACTTGAGGAAGGCCTTTTTGCCGACGTTCCCGTTCTTTTTCTCGATCCCGTCTTTCTTGGGATCGAGATCGGGGAGAATGTCGGCGTCTATCCCTGGACCGAGATCTAGAACGTCTATGACGAGACCTTCGAGATCTAGAACCAGATCTAGATCGTCTCCTTTTTGGTGACCTAATGTTTTCATGAAGTTAGAGAATGAACAGTACATAGGAAAAAACCAGAAAACTTAAGTAGTACATACTAATTAAAAAAAATACAACTAGGTAATTTAATGTCTGAATATATAGGAATATAAGAGTATGAAACTCATTTTGAAGATTTTTAATGTCTCAAGTTAGAAAGCATACACAAATAATTTAAACAAAATAAATAAGATTGTCAGCTTATAAAAGTCTCACCTTCACAGTACCTCTGGCAGTATACTAAATTATTTCTGTAGGAAGCTAATGGCTGAGATATAGTACTATTCTTATCTACCTTCTTAGTAACAGAAAAGACTTCTGTAATCCAATTATGGCATTACCATGACCTTTGCACTTTGTAGGCTGATAAAGCTGTAAAGGAACTTTCAATGTAGAAGTCTTCTAATACCACATACTATGTGCCTACATTTTGGCATCTGAGCAACTCAAAGAGCAAAAAGGTGTATAAGATAATCTTAGATTTTTTTCAATCAATACTTCTCTTTTCTATACAAATTAGCAATAGTTATACTAAATGTTAAGTTTATTAACACTGAATGTAAATCCAATTTGATTTTAATCTGTCTCCTAAAACATACAAGGTTGGAGAAACATTTTCTATAATTTACCTGGATGCTGACCTGGATCTTGATTTTCTATTATCAGACATATGCCGTTTAACCTCTTGAATACAAGGTTGTTGTTCTACTTCCATTTCCTTAAAACCCAAAACAAAAACCATCAAGAAAAAAATGAAAACTACAAAGGTAAGAAGACAAAATCCAAAGAATGCTAAATCAAAAATCTCTTGCCTAGAAGCAATCCTCTTTTGGTTACTTGGGACCAAATTACTAATTCAGTATTGACCATCCATCATCAAAATAAAAATCTTGTACATGGTTTACAAGATTAAAAGAAATATTTCTCTACTTCTACAAGTTATTTGGCCTAAATTACATGCCATATTAATAAGCCATCATCTAAGGTGTGAAGAAAGTACTGGTTAAGGCTTCTACACTCAATCCCCACAGAAACCTATGGAAATTGGTAGTATTATTACATCTACTTCCTAGATAAAAAACTTAAAAGCACAGAAAGAATTTAATATGTGCCCAGGGTCTTTCTTGAGGTATGATGCCATGGCACTCTATCCAGGTGACAAAGTGAGACTCTGTCTCAAAAAGCAGAAATAAGCAAATAAGCAAGCAAATAAGCAGAAATCTGCATGTGTAAGTCAAGGCAACCAAAAGATAATCTGAGAATGAAATTTTACCTGTTGATGTGGCTTCTGTGTGAGGGGTTCATTTTGTGTCTGAAAAGTGGCTTGGAAAGGTTGAACTGGTGGAGTTGGAGGAATTACAGGCTGAGCCATGGGGGGAAATGGCGGTGTAGGAAGAAATCCAAATCCTGGCATCTGTCCATTAGGAGGAAGTGGAACCTTCCATTTTTAAAGAAAGTGTATGAGTAGAATTTAAGTAATAGCAAAAATAATTTGACAACCTTTAATTACTTTAAATAAAACTAATATATCTTTAACAAGTTTTGGTAAAGGAAAAGCTACAGTGATACTTGATACTGTTTAACAATTTTCAGAGATACAATCTTTATCCAAAAAACTGTTACATATCAAGTATATATACATTAAAAATCCTGTAACTCTTCAAGAAAAAAATCCTATAACTCATTTCAAAATTATAAATACACAGGTTTGGGCTTGGCATCCGTAGCACAGTGGTTATGGCGCCAGCCACATGCACCGAGGCTGGCCAGCTAAATGACAACTGCAACAAAAAAATAGCCAGGCATTGTAGCTGGCGCCTGTAGTTCCAGCTACTTGGCAGGCTGAGGCAAGAGAATCGCTTAAGCCCAAGAGTTTGAGGTTGCTGTGAAAGCTGTGACGTCACAGTACTCTACCGAGGGGAACATAGTGAGACTCTCTCAATAAATAAATACATATATAGGTTTGGTTTTAAATATTCAAAGAAACACCTTCCTTTAGATAAGGAAGCAATGTGATACACTGAAAAAAATAATCACAAAATATTCTTTCTAAATTATTTACAAATTTTCAGTAAGTGTTAAAACATTGAACATACCTCACAAGTTTTCTTTTTTTACACACACAGGTTATGTATAACAGAAGGGCAGTGTTGAATGATAGCCCCCCCCCCCAAAAGATATCCAGATTGTAATTCCTGGAGCCTGCAAATTTGTTACCTTACACTGCAAAAGGGACTTTGCAGATATCATTAGTAAGGATCTTATAATGGGCAAATTATCCTCAATTATCTGGGAAGGTCCAATCTAATCACAACGTCCTTACCAAGAGGGAAGGACAAAGGACGGCCAGAGTTAAGAAAAAAAAAGGCCAGGTGCTCATGCCTATAATCCCAGCACTCTGGGAGGCTGAGGCAGGTGGACTGCCTAAGCTCACAGGTTTGAGACCAGCCTGAGCAACAGTGAGACCCTGGTCTCTAAAAACAAAAAAAAATGGCTGGGCGTTCTGGCAGGCACCTATAGTCACAGCTACTTGGGAGGCTGAGGCAAGAGATTCCTTGAGTCCAGGAGTTTGAGGTTGCTGTGAGGTATGATGCCATGGCACTCTATCCAGGTGACAAAGTGAGACTCTGTCTCAAAAAAAAAAAAAAAAAAAAAAAAGAGTACCTCAGAGAAAGCAGAGATAGAGTGATGCTCTCTGATGGGCCCACAAGCCAAGGAATATAGGCAGCCAGGAGCCACTGAAAAGGGCAAGGTCTCTCTTCAGAGCCTCCAAAAGAAACCAGTCCTGACAAGGACTAGATTTTAGCTCCCTAAATTCACTCTGGACTTCTGACCACTAGAATTCTAAGAGAATAAGCTTGTGCTGTCTTAAGCTGCTAAGTCTGTGGTGACTTGTTTCAGCACCAACAAGAACTAAGACAGGCGTAAAACAACCCAATGACAATGGAAGCTCCTACATGCCGGTACTCCTGGAAGAATCTCACATGGTGGCAGGAGGCATAGGTAAGAGGGGTCCAGACAGCAAATATGTGTGCAAAGGGCACTAAGTGTGGCTATGGCCCAGAGCTGGAGACAAGAAATGATGGAAATTGACTGCAATGATGGGCAGGGCCAGGTTGCTGCACAGGGCCCTACATTCTTGCTAAGGAGTGAGGGTGTCAGCTGATGGTGATTAAGGAGCCAGTGAAAGATGTTAAGCAGGGAAGGGATAGGGTCGGAGCAAAAGCAGTGCCCATTTGAATCAAGAGTGGATTCAGGGGACCCATCAGATGGCTGTTATAACAGGCCTGACTGGAGATGACAAAGACCTGTGTAATGACTTTTGAGGGGCAGCTTCAGTGGGGGATGGAACAGAGCCAGGCCAGAGGATGGTGGAATATGGGAGTGGGGAGAGGGAGGAGTTCAGCATAACAGCCAGGATTTGGGCACAAGGGCCTCTGGGAAGTGCAGAGGATATGGATGTGAAATTAGATTTAGAGGGGAAATGGGTAAGTTTATCTCTTTTTTCTTTTTGAGACAAGAGTCTCACTCTGTTGCCCAAGCTACAGTGCTGTAGCATCAGTCTAACTCACAGCAACCTCAAACCTCTAGATTCTAGCAATCCTCTTGCCTCAGCCTCCTGAGTAGATGAGCCTATAGGTTCCTGCTGCAATACCCGGCTAATTTTTGACAGATGGGGGGCTCGCTCTTGTTCAGGCTGGTCTCAAACTCCTGAGCTCAAGGGATCCTTCTGTTTTGGTCTCCCAGAGTGGTAGGACTACAGATGTGAGTCACTGTAATTAGTCTTCATATTTTAAATAAGGATTATAAGGCTTGGAGCCTGTAGCTCAGTGAGTAGGGTGCCATCCACATATACTGAAACTGGTGGGTTCAAGCCCAGCCAGGGCCTGCTGAAAAACAGACAACTGCAACCAAAAAATAGGCAGGCCTTGTAGTGGGCGCCTGTAGTCCCAGCTACTCAGGAGGCTGAGGCAAGAGAATCGCTCAAGCTCAAGAGTTTGAGGTTGCTGTGAGCTGTGATGCCTCAGTACTCTACTCAGGGCGACAGCTTGAGACTCTGTCTCAAAAAATAAATTAATGAATAAATAAATAAATAAGGTTATAAAATACTTTTTGAACCCGATTCATTGATAAGTCATTAAAATCATATCATTTTCGTATTACCATATAGACAGAATGGATCGAACACAATACAGATAACAGAAAATAACATATTGTGAAGAGATTTCTCAGAATAGTTTCTAAACTTAGGCCATAAGGCAGTATTTCCCAAGGCTAGTTGTACAACAGAATCACTGCAGAATTTAAAAAACAGATTTCCTAGAATGATGGTGGCAGTGGAGGGCCAGGATGTGTGTTTTTAAAAAATATCCCTCTCCTTGTCCCCGTAATTTAGATGCATAGCCAAGTTTAAAAAACTCTGACTCAGAAAATTTACTGGAACACATCCAATGAACAACTCTAACTTCCCACAACTCTTCAGTGTGCTATGTATGCTTCTTTCATTGAAGCTTTTAAACTATATCCCTGAATGTTGAGAACTGAAAGCCCTCTAATGTATCTAATCACACAAATTACATAAAAGGCCCCTGAAAAGGAAATAGCTGTGTAACTAAGTATGTCAGACTATAAAACCATAATTTCTCTCTAAACATTTTAACTAAAATACCTATTCCTAAAATATGAACATGTAATATTTAGCATACTTGTTTTAATTAAAGCAAAAAGCAACTCAAAACAGTTATACATTCAACAACTTTTACAGAAGGTGGAGTATTACTTAACCAATCACATAGCTATATAGTGTTCTGTGAAGTACAAACCATACAGTGTAATTAATAGATGTTGAATTATTAAAACTCAACTGTAAGAAAAATGCTTGTACCTGATGGTGCATTGGATCCTGTTGTATTCCCATCATTCGAGGTTGAAACTGATCCATATTTTGATGCTGTGTGTATGCTGGCTGCTGCATGCCATCTCCAGGAAATCCACTAAAAATAAGGCAAGTAATCTTTTTTACCCATTCAAAAGCACAAGACCCTCAGCCACATTCATACTACAGAAACATAGGCTATGGTTGAGGATTCATTAGTAATCAACATTTAAAAAAATCATACATAGCATATTTATCTATTTACTAATCTATACACTCAGTACTATGTCCAACATGAAAGCCACTTTTTTATCGGGGGAAAATCCATAATATCACAAATTTTACAAAACAATGACTCCAATGAAAATTACTTTGATTGCTAAATGTTACTTAGAACATGCTTTACAATTCTCTATTTACCAAAGAATTAAAAAAAGAAAGAAACTCACAATGGTGCCTGTGGAGGAGGAGGAGAGGCAGCAGTGGGGGCAGCAGCAGCAGCAGCAGCAGCAGCAGGCACAGTGGTGGTGGGTGTGGGAGGCACAGCAGCAGCAGGTGCTGTCGTGGTGACAGCAGCAGCATCCTCTTTCTTTGATTCTTCCACAGCTTCAGGCTCGTCGTCATAATCAAATCTATCAAGCAGCTTCTGAAGAGAGTATGTCAATATTCCATTTTAAAACTGAGACAGATTCACTTCACAAAAATATATGTACCACTATCTATAACCCCACCATACTGTCATGTTCGATTTCATTTTCCCACATGCCCCTGGGGACTGTGGTACACAGACATAACCAATTTTTACACAAATGCCATTTTGGAAAAAATACAAAGTTTAACTTTGCCTTCCTTCCCAAATTATAACTACAGTATTTTTTTTGACTGTTTCTCTATTTTCTATCTGCTTATTTCCTAATTACTTTAGTAGCACATATAACTTTCTAAAATATTCATTTACCTCCTAGACTAAAAACTTTTAGAACTTTGTGCACATGAAAATGGATCTACATTTCAGTCAGCTATAAAATGTAAAAAAAAAAAAAAAAAAAAGGATTATCCTACCCAATTACTACAAAGGCATACAGAAAAACGTCCATATCCTATCTGCTCAAGAATATACGAATACGTGAAACAGAAAAACAAGAGAATGGTATAGGACAGGGACACAAAGATGTCTCACCACTTGTTCATTAGCTGCTTTCTTAAAACCTTTCGACTTTCATTAAAAAAAAAAAAAATGATGTCACTTTATGAGATCACATGTCCAGAAGAACAGCAATTTAAAAATAAGACTTACTCAGAATGGAAAGAAACATATTAGACACATACTAACAGTTTTCAGATTACAGACTTCACCATCCCAAGAACCCTACAAGGGAGATAAGAGTCTCTTCACAGGCAAACTAAGGCTCAGATTGTAAAGAAACATCAAGATTACACAGTTAGTGAATGGTGGAATCAGGATGTGGAGAATGGTCTTTTTAACTTCAAAGCAAAGCCCTCAGTCCCTGGCCATGAACAAGCCATCTTTTCTTTCAAGCTGTGCCCATTCTGCTCACGTATTTCAACCTCAAATGTATCAATTTGTGTAGTTCTATAATAGTTATGCCCACAAATTTTGGTTCTACTTTACTGAACAACAGATTTCTACATTAGGAAGGGAAATCCTTTCCTTGGACAACACAGCTTATAGGACTAAACCAGTGTTCAAAGTGTTTTAGGACAGAGCTAACTTGAGGTTTTTTCTTTGTAATTCTAGGTCAAGCAATTCAAAGTTTTTATAGGATTCCTTTTCTAAAACTTGGTGAAACAAACATTGACCAACTCACTTAAGGTAAAACATTAGACAAACTGTAATTCAAGTTAATAAGATAAAGATGCTATCATGGCTTTTACTCAGTATTTTTCTCAAAGTCCTTGCTATCAGTACAATAACAAAAGAAAAAGAAACAGGCATAGATAGATATTAATTAAAAAAGTTATACTTAGCAGCTAGCTACCTACACAATTTAAAAGCACCAACTAAAAAACAAAGCATTAATGCCATGACCATTTTTCTTTTAGAGACAAGTTCTTACTCTGTTCTACAGACTGCAGTGCAGGGGCATGACAGCATCTCACTACAGTCTTGAGTTCCTGGCCTCAAACAATTCTATCCTCTCAGCCTCCCAAAGTGCTGGGATTATAGGTGTGAGCCATTGTGCCCAGTCACTATGACCATTTATAAGATAAAACACTGTTTATACATGGTGTTATCATTAACCATTAAAAATGAAAGAAAAACATATTAAGACCTCTAACAAGGAGAGATTTTAAGTAAAAGGAGATTCCGTATGAGAGGCTATCAGTACTTAATAGATAAATTCAAAGGAATTCTAACATCTGGAAAAATATACTGTAATGGTTAATTTTATCTGTCAACCTGGCTAGGTAATACATTGCCCAGTTATTTGGTCAATTACCAATTCAGATGTTGTTATGAAAGCGTACATTGGATGAGACTAACAATTAAATAAGCCAACTGTGAGTAAAGCAGACTGCCCTCCATAATGAGTGAGCCTTAATCAGTTGGAGGCCTTAAGAATAAGAACTAAGGTTTCTTAAAGAAGGAATTCTCCTCAAGACTGTAATATAGAAACCCTGCCAGAGTTTTTAGTCTGCTGCCCTGTGGAATTCAGACTCCAGCCTGAATGTCTAGTCTACTGACTTGTTCACAATTTTAACAACAAATTCCTTAAGATAGATCTCTCTTTCTAGCTAAACAGATACAATTATTGGTTTTGTTTTTCTGGAGACCCTTGACTAATACAAATCACCAAGAATAACCAAAGAAAGTTTGAAAAAAGAGTAACAGAATGTATGTGGAAGTGAGGGGGGCATAGGAGAGGCAGGAAAGCTAGAAATGAAATATAGTATATATGTTACAAGTATTTCAACCATTACGATGCAGAAATAAACAAATATATTAGTGGCACAGAACAGCGTCCAGAGAAATAGAATAAGAAACATAAAGGAATTTGTGGATGAAAAGCAGTGAGGGAGAATTATTTTCAAAAATGTTAAGACTTAACTATGTTGAACCATAATCTAAAATAGATTACAGAGGCACTAAAGAGAAAAAAACAAACAAAAATATAAAAGTACTAAAGAAAATATAGAATTATTTTTCATTTCTCTTTTTTTTTTTTGAGACAGAATTTCACTCTGTCGCCCTCAGTGGAGTACTGTGGCGTCATAGCTCACAGCAACCTCAAACTCTTGGGCTCAGGTGATCTTCTTGCCTCAGCTTCTTGAGTAAATGGGACTGCAGGTGCCTGCCACAATGCCTGGCTATTTTTAGAAATGGGGTCATGCTCTTGCTCAGGCTGATCTCCAACTCCTGAACTCAGACAATCCACCCGCCCTGGCCTCCCAAGTGCTAGGATTACAGGATGAACCACTATGCCCAGACCTTAGAATTATTTTTTTAATACAGATAGGGAGAGTCTTGCTAATCACAACATTGAATAAAAAACCTAATAAAACCACAAGTATAAGAATTTATGTTCACATGTACACAGAAATAAGTTTGAAAGAGTATACATCAACAAATCTGTTCAAACTATAGTGTGAAATTGCTTCCCTTTTACTTTAAGTTTCTGTATTATGTATTTTCTTCTCCTGTAAGCATATATTCCTTTTTTACTCAAAAAATTCACTCAATCTTCTGTTAATCAGTAGCGACCAATAAATCACTAAGATATAATGAAAACCAAAATTTACTACATGGATTTTTAATTTGGACTACCATCAGTAAAGTTCCTCTATCTTATAAAAAAGGCAAGAGTGGAGCTGTTTGGGTTAAAATTTCAACAGGAAGCCCTCAGCTATCCATGTCCAGCAGACCCATATTCTTGTTGGTAGCTTCCTTAACATGCCTTAGGAACCAAAAGGTGTAACAGAGCAGCTGAAAGACACTGGAACAACCCAAACTCTCACATTATAGATATGGTAACTAAGATTTTTACAGCAAAAAAATTAAAAGTAACATAAAAGATTATTAGTAGGCTAGGCACCTTTTGCACAGTGGTTCAAGTGCCAGCCATGTACACTGAGGATGGTGGGCTCAAATCCAGCCCGGGCCAGCTAACAACAATGACAACTAGAACAACAACAACAAAAAAGTTG